ATCACCTTGTCATTCAACAGCAACAATGTRATTGTGTCAGGGCTGAGTGTGGGGAAGCTGTAGCCCTACTGAGCCCCTGCCTAAGCACACCACGCAAATGACAGTGTCACAAGCACAAGGGTTGAGGCTGAGTGTGTCTGGACCCATCAGGGAAACATTAGGCACATAGTATGTCTCAGACTCCAGAGAAGGCCACTCTACTACCTCAATGGGCTCCTCCCAGGAAGCAGCTGAACCACAGTGGCCCCTGCTCTGGCGGAACCTGCCAGCTGAGCCACACGCTGCCCTGACCCAGCTTGAGAGAACCCTCATTCCTACTAGTGACAATTCTGTCACTTTGTCCCATACTCAATCACCAGTTTTTTATTTTTTGTTTCCTTCTTATCCTTCTATTATTCTGAAATGTAGCTAATACACAGAAAACAAGCCAGAAGATGCATGTTCCTTTTAACAAATAATTGCAGGGTCAGTGCATGTATTTCCACCATCCAGGTCAAAAATGAAATGCCACTCTCACCTCTACACCCTTCCATAATCACACAAAGATAATCACTATTGATATTTTCTTTYTTTACTTTTTGCCATACTAGGTATTGAATCCAGGGCCCTGCACGTGAAGCAAGCACTGTACCACTGATCTACACCCCCAATCCTTTTATTCTGAAACAGAGCCTCACTAAGTTTCTGAGGCTGGCCTTGAACTTGTGATTCTCCAGCCTCAGCTTCCCAAGTAGTTGGTATTACAAGTGGGTACCACCATGCCAGGCTTACTATTGWCTTGCAATAAACATTTCCTTGCTTTTCTTTCTAGTTTTATTATCTATGTAGAGGTCACTAAGCAAGAATTTACTTCCTAACTTTACATGAACAGAATCACACCATTGTATATTTTGCTTTATTTGTTCAATACTGTTTGAGGGTCAYCCATCATCTGGGTTGCTCCCTACTCCCCCGCAGTGCTGCCAATCTGGGCCTCACACTGCAAACACCCAGTGYCTCAAGGTACCAGGTTACTTCCTCCTGTCCTGGGTGTGGGTGCGAGTTGGTGCATCCAAGGAACACCCYCAGG